TTCAAACTTGTAGTCATACTGTCTACTATTTGTTATGATATTTGTAAGTTATACTGTTTGAATAATAATTAAATATTCATCGACAGTAATGAAGGGTTTCTATAAGCTTTCACGAGTTATTTATTATAGTGATTGGTATCATATCGTGATGGGTTAAAATGTCATGATGTCGGGTTGATGTGGTGTCGTGATGTCGGATTATCGTGGTGTCGTGATGTCGGGTTGTCTGGTTGTCGTGGTGTCGTGATGTCAGGTTGTGGTGGTGTCGGGTTATCGGCCATATTCCTCTCAATACTATGATTATGTACACTGATTCAGATGTTGGTGTCGGTAGTGCAGGACAAAGGGGCTGGTAAAGAACAGTGTCTAGTATTGTAGATGGGACAAAAAAGAACAAGATGAAGAAATGCCACGGTCCTCTGAAAATTTCCGTCATATCACTTTGCATAGCATATGCCTAATAGTCCGATTGGTGCAGAAAAGTGAAAAAGTGAAATAAAATGAAATGAGGTTTAACGTCCAACTCTTTTGCTCCGGGAGCCACAGTGGCTAAGTGAGTAAGGCGCTGGCGTGCTAGCCTGGAGGTCGCGGTTCGCTCCCGGACAGTGGCAGCGCCAGCCGTCGGTGATTGGAGGGGCAAAGCTGGGGCAAAGTCTAAGGTTAAGGGGGCAAAGGCACGAGCTTCAACTAGGGGTAGGGGGCCTCCCCCAGAAAATTTTGAAAAACAGGTTGCCGAAAATGCAGCCTGGCAGTATTTCAGGCACTGATCGATGAGGTTAAGTGTCAAACGAACGGACTTGCGAATCACGACGAAGCCCACTCACGAGCGTCAATGTAGGGAGTCCTCTCCCAGAAAATTTTGAAAAATAGACTGCCGGGAATGCTGTCTTACAGTATTCTGTCAGGCACCGATCGTCGAGATAAATAGATCTGCCCAGATACCGTTCGTCGCCTGATCACTAGTTTATCCTACTAGAGAACAAAATGTCAAACGAACGGACTTGCGAACCTCAACTAATGCCCCTTGTGAGCGCAAAAGTAGCGAGTCCATTGGGAACCTCGCCAAGAAAATTTTGAAAAATAGACTGTCGGAAATGTTCTACAACATGCAAGTTTATGACTAAGTGGGGATGTGGGATTTATTCACCGTAGAAGGTATTGATTACCGAAACGTATCACAAATACTTTTTTTTATTTTCTAAAATTATTGGGGGGGCAAACCGAGGGCAAACCAGATTAACGGGGGGGGGGCAAATGCCCCTTTACCCCCCCCCCCCCCCCCCCCCGGCGCCGCCACTGCTCCCGGAGTGGGTCGAGAAAGTTCATCGAGATTTTCCGGCGTGGTTTCCCCTTGTCAGGGGTACAGGAAGGACGGCCCAACAAGGATAGCTGTCTAGTCGTTCGGATAGGACGAAAACCCGAGGTCCCGTGTATACATTGAAGTGCACATAAAAGATCCTTGGCAGTGGAATTCGATATAAGAGTAGACCTTAGCGCCGCTGTCCGGGCAAAATGTCCCTCATAACACACTGTATGGCGTAAGCCTGTCTTCATTAGCCCAGTCGGAGCAAGACGTTAAACTCCATTTCATTTCATTTCGTTTAATACCCGATCTCCTGGTTGATTAATCATTTTTACTAAATAAAAGAAAATTAAAATATTTAGTTACAGGGTTTTTAGCAACTACTGTTATGTTTGAATTTATATCGTATGTTCGGTAATTACCAGTTTTCGATTTCCAATTAGCCCTCGAATCACGTTACAAGGCCCAAATTATAAATTATATAATTTCACTTGCAACGTTAGTGGCTTAGTGAGTAAGACTTTGACTCGCTAACCTGGAGGTTCCATGTCCGATCCCGGTGTTGACCGAGATAGTTCATCGGGATTTTTTTTTTTTGCGTGGTTCCCCTTGTCAGTGGCGCAGGACGGATGGGCTGACAAGGGACAACGTATAGTCGTTCGGATGGGACGAAGACCAGAGGTCCCGTGTACACATTGATGTGCACGTAAAGAACACCTGACAGTTAGAATTCGAAGTGAGAGTAGACCGCTGGTCCTGCTTTTCGGACAAAATCTCTTCATAGAATACTGTATGTCTTATGCCCGTTTCATTAGCCCAGTCGGTGCAGAACAGCAGGACGTTATATGCCATTTCATTTCACTACAACGTGATTTCAAATGGGGAAACTCTTAATAACCGTAAATACGACATGCATCCTACGCAGCATGAGAGAAACAAGCGTAAATTGGTAAATCTGTAATAATCTGTGCGGCAATTATCACAGTTGTTTCCCTTGAATCAGTCGGATTTTTAATAATGAAGCTGGATACAGACCACCATTGATTTATCTCGCGACCTTATTGATTTACGACTTCTTGATTTATTACATCGTTTCAGTGCTCAGTAATGTAACCCGTAGGTTTTAGCTCTAAAACTGAAAACCTGAAAGCCACCCTTCAAAATACTCTTTGCGGCAACTCTATGGTAAAAAGTTTAAACTATAACTTTTAATCTAGACCTTTCACCCACATGGTTTCTTTAAACTGTTGATTTCACAAGTGAATTCCACCGTGTTATTTCTTTTACATACTCCCAGTACGTGATTATAGCCTTTGGGAATTCGGCCGTTTTGAAACTAATCGGGTCTGTACAATACTACGATTACTTTGAGACCATCATAATGCGAGTAGGGGATTATTTGTCATGCATTGCTGATTAATCTTAATCGAATTCCAATTTAATGGATGTGCACTATCAGCCAAAATGGTGTCGCAGGACATGCAATTGAACAATTCTGGATTTAATAAGGACTTAATTTTAGTTTCAGGAAAATATCTATTAAGAAGTATTTCTTGTGGTATGTTCATGATCCTTCTGGTAATAACATGGTGGCAATCTGATTAAAACACAGATCCAATTTCGTTTCGTTTTTAATAGTTCAAAATTTCGATTTTACTTGTCTTTACTAAACTTGGATCTGGAAGCGTTGTTATTTAACCCGTGTTCTGCTTGAAATGAGGGGTCAACCAATCAAATGATCTGTCGAATCGAGCGTTTGACCTTTTTTTGCGCGGAACTGTGGGTAGACATTAGCGGCAATAGAAATCAAAACAAGGCAAAAGTAGATAAAAAAATACATGGCGGTCGCTAATTGGTTAATCGAATGACTGACGTAATCGGGTCAAGTGTCGCTTACTTGCTGCCTGACGTCATAGAACGTGAACTCCCACTATAACTTGTTAGATCTACATGTAGTGTAGGCCATCGAGAGTATAAAAAACGAAACGAAATATAGATCTATATTTTAATTAGATTGAACATGGTGGATACAATGCACAACGATTCTTTCTTTATTCCCAATGAAAAGTTCTGTAAGTTTGAGAACAAAAGGCAAAAGATACTCCGGTTCACAATAAAGGGATGGAACACCAAAATGTGGGAGTATAAAAAAACGTCTATTTCCAAACATGCTCGCACATTATTGAGTTCCCCGCTTTAATTCACACAACTTATTATAGGGAAGCTTCCAGTTTTATACTGTCAAACACATTAGTCTATATAAATGGAGACACGGTATTTCAAAGAAAATCAAAATTAATAACTTTACTTTCCATGGATACCTGGTTCTTCAATCGTAATAAACGGCAGGTAGTAATTAGGTGGACTCGACGCGTCTTCTTTTGTAGAATGTCATAGAGCAGGGATGGTTAACCTCTAACGCATGCGCCAAACGTGGTGCATTGGATTATTAACAGTGGTACATTATAAACCTTGGATAATAAAAAAAGTGTGGCATTATTTTAGCGATCTTATTTATATTGAACATACTTTTAAAGGAGCTAGGATGTGCCCTAGAAATTGACGCAAATGGGTCGCAACGCATATAATAATGCAATATAAATGTATATAAACTGATTTACATTCAATCTTTTCTGGTTTTACTGTAATTTCTAATCAGTTATGTTCGGCGAAATACGCCAGAAGTCTCAATCAAATGGCAATCTTTAGCATCTGGTTATTCCAGTCCACACCGATAGTATTTATTGCACATACTCTCCAAATAAGAGTATGGCGTCACCGTTTGACATGACTTGTTGAATATGTCTAGCCTTGTTCTTTAAGTCCCTTGTTACAAATGGCACCAATAGTATTTATTGCACATGCTCTCCAAATAAGAGTATGACGTCACCCTATGACATGACTTGTTGAATATGTCTTGCCTTGTTCTTCGAGTCCCTTGTTACAAATGTCGCTGTCAAAACGCATTATGGTACACGATTCGTCAAATGGTAACATGTTTATTTTGTCTTAAATATTGGATATCAGAAGCCCATCTTTTCCCGGTAAGATCACAACATCATTGTTGATTTAAATTGACAAATAATTCGTGTTTTCAATGTTGCGGACTGTGGATGTGGTTAAAGACTAGCTAATTTAAGCAAATGTTATCTTCTTTCACGCTACTAATCTGTTCATGGAAGTAGACGGGGGTACAAAAGTACATATGGAGTTGTGTGGCGTATCTGAATCCTGATGTGAACAAATTGACGCACGGCATGTAAAAGGTTGGTCACTCCTGCCATATAGCGTGTCCCCTCTCGTTGCGGTAGGTGGTCACATTATTACCAATGATCAAGTCAATAAATACACTGAGGTACCATGGCATCCGTTTAGGTTAATTTGAGGACGGGGGGGGGGGTCTGGGAATTGACAACTTATAGTCGTTCGGATGGGCCGAAAAACTAGGTCCCGTGTACACATTGACGTGCACGTAAACTAACGCTTGACAGTTGAAATTCGAATTAAGAGTAGGGCTTAACGCCGCTGTCCGGGCAAAATAGTGCACTGTATGTGCATGCCCGTCTTAATGAGCTCAGTCGGAGTAGAACAGCAGGACGTTAAACCCCATTTCATTTAATTTTGTTTCAGTTAGTATTATGAATATCAGTATTTCATGCTAATTTTCTAACTATAAATTTTATGGGGAAATTTCACATCTGTGCTTATATATATTTAGGTCAAGTCACCATGACATAAATTTGATAATAAATCAAACGACACAAACAAATGCTGTTTGAGATAATAAACAGACACCAGACGATAATATGACTATATTATATAATCAAATATATAAACCAGAATTCGTAGCGAGAAAATCCGGGTTGAATCTCTTAGTGATTTATACGATAAAACTAAAATATCATTTCATAATCCTTAAACAATTTTTTCTTATAATCAATCGCTTGGAAAATGTTGTGGCGATCTACTGTGTAGTGCGTAGATCCCCATATCTTATGCAACTGGGGTTAACTTATGCTGCTTAACCGTGCACCTCCCTTGCACCCCCCCCCCCCCTCCGGACGGAAGCATATTATTGAAATAAAAAAATACCATGTGGTTAATCCGAGATAAAGTAATAAAGCACATCGTCTTCACAGTCAATTTCTAAGTAATATACTTTCTAACAAAGTGGTTTACTACCCAAACAAAAACAATCAAAATATAAATATACAAAACACTAAACACACATACATTTGAAAGATTTATTTAATCAGATAAAACAAAACGTTACACTTCATTGAACTGAGCACAGATACGTATATAGTGTGTTTACAAAGCAAGTCAGGGTATTTCACCATATAACAGTACAAATTGGTTATAAACATAATTAATATTAATAGAATATAATGCCATTCACGTTGAGGAGGTATAAAAACCCGATACTTCAATTTGTGGTCTGTATTAATATACAAATGAACACACAAATATTAAACAAAAAAACACAGATTAACCTCTAGAACGAAATAAAGGCACTCTGATGTTGAAAGGTACAAGAATAATTATGTATATGAGCGGATATAAATGAGCGTGATATAAATGAAATGGGGTTTGACGTCCTACTTTTCTGCACCAACCGAGATAATGAAGTCGCGATTGGGAATAGGTTATTTTTACATACAGAGATGCAATGAAAACAAACTACATGGATAACTGTAAATCTCGACTGATAGATAATACAATAACATACAAATGAAAGCTATTAAAGATACTGACATGTTCAACGTTATAATCTATTCACAGTTTACAAATTTATAATCTTTTCACAGTTCACAAATTTGTAATCTGTAGACAGTTTATAAATTTATAATCTGTTCACATTCAAAATAAATTTCCACATTTTAAAATTACCCTTGTTTACTTGTGTGTCTATCTTTACGTTTGAATGTAAAGATACAATATGATCTTGCCTGCCAAGGATTAATTGTGAATGTAACAACACGAGAACATGATAATAACGCGTGAAAAATGATGTGGGGAATAAAATATGACTTTGAAAAAATTAGGGTCACTATAACTTCTACAGTTCAGTGGAGGAAACACCGGTGTGCCAAGGTTAACACCTGATTACAGGGAAGGCGCCATTGCGTTAATTCAATATAACAGGAGTACCAGGGCTGCCGTACTACGGAGACTGACTGATCATTTTCAGCAGACATGGTCCACTAGGGCTCGGTCAAAGTCTGGGCGATAACGCGTGACAAAGTCTCAACAAGACCGGTACATTTGCAGGATCGCAAGCTGTCGGATTCCAATACTGCTGCTACTGTGAGGGGGTTATCAGTGCTGCAACGGTTTGTTCTCGACTACGCTTTGTCGGCCAGTGTACCAGACAGACCCAATGTCGTTATACTGACTTTTGACTTCTAAACTATGTTATATCCTCAGTGTAACTGGCACTTCCGGGTTGTAGATTTTACCATATTATTATGATTAAACAGATACATACACATGATTTGATTTGGGAAACAAATAATTATAGGTGTAGATTTTAAATAAAAGAAACGGAATTTAACGTCCTAATTTTCTGTACCACCTGGTATAATGTACATTTCTAAAGCCGGTTGGGTTTAACATAAGTAATCACATTTGACGAGACAGTAATTATTCTTGAAAAACTAGCTTAACACGCAGACGTATAGATAACTTCTATAATGTTGAGGTCAAACATTCACATCATATTTTACATTTGAGTTCATATAATGGTCATAAGCTAGATAAGTAAAACTATTTTGCTCCAAACCACAAAAGATAGGTTGCAAGGCAACGAAACATACCCCCATAGCAGCTAAGTCGTCTGGGCAGTCAACAAGTGTTGTTGCATATTTTTACTTTTGTCGGTAATCAAACATTTATAATACACTAAAATCTGATTAAGAGTAACAACTCCTTAAGTAATTATCAGAAAATCATTAGCCCATGCTAACGTTTAGTATACAAATTACAAAACATTTAATATCGTGAATTTAGCTGTTCAAGTTATCAAAATCATTGAATATTAATACACATGTACTTGTTCGTCTCAAGACCTTAAACTCTGTGTATCAAAATGAAATGGGGCTTAACGTCCTACTGTTTTGCTCCGAACTGCTGTGTATCAACCTAAAGTCAACTGAAACCATTATGTATTTCGCAAAGTGATCAAGGGCCATAACTCTGGAAGTAATTATCAATAGGCTTCTTCGTCTCGTGACCTTCAACACTGTGTATAAATTTAAAGTCAACCGGATGTTAACTTTAATCTCTAGAGCGTCTACAAGATTTTTCAAAGTGATCAAGGGCCATAACTCTGGCAGTAGTTATCAGAAATTGGTAAAAATAAATAGGCTTCTTCGTATCATGAACTTTAACAATGTGTATACATTCAAAGTCAATCGGATATTAACTTTAACCTCGAGGTTTGTATATTTGGTATAATATCATGTATAATGACGAACGTAAACTAATTATTCACATAAAACCTATAACCATGATATTTTACCATAAATTGCGCAATACACCGGTAAGCTTACTCCACGTTAAACAAGACTGTATTACTGACACTGAAATGGCAATGGGGATCAAAGTAGCTTAATTCATTCGTCCGTGTTTATCATATTAAACCTATTACAAACCTATAGTAGCCTATTGATTCACACTCCTATCGTTCAAAATGCGTGACAATATGAAATAGTATAGTATAGGATAACAAGCTTGTCGTCAACATAATATTACTATAAATGTAAAATATTACTATCAACAGGGCTTTTTATTATAAACCATGGTTGCGTACTCAAATTTATGGCGTTAGTGTGAATAACATTTATATAAATCTGTAACCAGTTTCAACCAGACGATATAACCTAGATTAAGTTGGGTATAAACAGCTTGATAATCAGAAAGGTTTACACACTCACCCAACAAATATCAATAAAATAATATTTAGCGATTAAACCATGATTCATAATGGTGGTTTGATAACAACGATATATAGTAATAATATTAATGACTACACATAGAATTAAACATTGTCACGATGTTAAAAGCCATTGAATAACTGGTATGTTTTGGTTTAAACAAGGTCAACAAGAGAAAGATAACAATTTTAAGCTGGACGTTGGCACTTAAAAACACTTCAGATTAACACGATTGGGGTATTTAGGGTGGAGTAGGGTGGGGTGGGGGTTGTGCGGCCATTATGCCGTCCACTCACGGTCCTTCCCTTTGGGGCGTCACTTTGTTTCCTCTTATGTGAGACGCTAATCAATGAAAATAGTCCCATGACCCTTTAAGGAAACCCTATAATTCATTAAGACTGTAAGACTACTCGTAAAAGGGTATATATATTTTACGAAGTGTTTACATTGTCAAACAATTATTACCGATAAAACGAATTTTCTTCGGATATCACAAGTGCAGTTAACATCACGCAGACGACTAAACCTTACAATTCACTACAGACTGAAAACTATCTTAACAGGGTCAATGACTTACATAAAGTTACCGGCGTGATTGTGTTATTGACTTGGCTTATCAGTCGATAAATAAAGTGGTAAACTTTGACCTTTTGGTAAGTAGATGACAATAGTCGAATATTATTACATAATAAATGTTCTCTTATCAAGAATAACATAATCACCGACTAGGATATACTGATTATAGTTAAAGAGGCGAATTCCTTCGTACCAAATCAACTATGGGTTATTTCTTGTAATATAATAATAATATAATTATTACCTCGTATGGTTTAAAGAGCCCTTGACAGTTGGAATTCGAAATAAAAGTAGGCCGTAGGCCTATCACCTCTGTCCAGGCAAAATAATCCTCACTAAACCCCATTTCATTTCACTGTACGAAAAGGATTGCTGATTTATTTATGATTTTTATTTGTTAAATCATTTGAAATCAGTGTAAACTTGGAAAGGCATAACAGTTTCAGGAGCAAACTTGCCTTTCTAGAAAGAGTAAATTTGATTGGAGATTGTCTCAAATTAGCACATCTATACCTAAATAGCCGCAGGATTTCCAGGGATGGATTGTGGTATAAATATTCTAATTCTGTGATATGTATATTCTTGAACAGAATTTCTGAAAGAATTTCTGAACATTAATGGGGAACAGACTTAGGTTACGTATAAATTTTAAAACAAGAGTGAGCTCCAATCGTATTCATAGTTAAATGTATGAACGATCTAAGAAGACCGGTCATGGCTACGTGCGTGAGCAAACTACTTCAGGAAAAAAATACAAGACAAGCCTAATATCACAATCACACAAAATATTGAGCAAAATAATTCAAGTACAATAGAACAGTGGTAGTATAAGGGGTGTGATTTCGTTTCCTTTACAATTACGATTCTTGCAGTACATTGTTATCTGAACGACATCGTATATGCTTCGTGTTATTTCTAGAATTTCCCACCAAAACACAACTACGTATACCAGCACGACCGATAATTTGACTGACTGGTCATTTAAAGAGATCTGAACTTTTGCTGTCATGTAAATGAAATTGGTATCAGTATTTGATTATTAACCTCATCCAGCCCAGTATAAGAGCAGAACAGTAGGACGTTAAACCCCATTTCATTTCATTTCATTTCATTTACACATTGACGTGCACGTAAACTAACGCTTGACAGTTGAAATTCGAATTAAGAGTAGGGCTTAACGCCGCTGTCCGGGCAAAATAGTGCACTGTATGCGCATGCCCGTCTTAATGGGCTCAGTCGAGGTAGAACAGCAGGACGTTAAACCCCATTTCATTTCATTTTGTTTCAGTTAGTATTATGAATATCAGTATTTTATGCTAATTTTCTAACTATAAATTTTATGGGGAAATTTCACATCTGTGCTTATATATATTTAGGTCAAGTCACCATGACATAAATTTGATAATAAATCAAACGACACAAACAAATGCTGTTTGAGATAATAAACAGACACCAGACGATAATATGACTATATTATATAATCAAATATATAAACCAGAATTCGTAGCGAGAAAATCCGGGTTGAATCTCTTAGTGATTTATACGATAAAACTAAAATATCATTTCATAATCCTTAAACAATTTTTTCTTATAATCAATCGCTTGGAAAATTTTGTGGTGATCTACTGTGTAGTGCGTAGATCCCCATATCTTATGCAACTGGGGTTAACTTATGCTGCTTAACCGTGCACCTCCCTTGCACCCCCCCCCCCCCTCCGGACGGAAGCATATTATTGAAATAAAAAAATACCATGTGGTTAATCCGAGATAAAGTAATAAAGCACATCGTCTTCACAGTCAATTTCTAAGTAATATACTTTCTAACAAGGTGGTTTACTACCCAAACAAAAACAATCAAAATATAAATATACAAAACACTAAACACACATACATTTGAAAGATTTATTTAATCAGATAAAACAAAACGTTACACTTCATTGAACTGAGCACAGATACGTATATAGTGTGTTTACAAAGCAAGTCAGGGTATTTCACCATATAACAGTACAAATTGGTTATAAACATAATTAATATTAATAGAATATAATGCCATTCACGTTGAGGAGGTATAAAAACCCGATACTTCAATTTGTGGTCTGTATTAATATACAAATGAACACACAAAATATATTAAACAAAAAAACACAGATTAACCTCTAGAACGAAATAAAGGCACTCTGATGTTGAAAGGTACAAGAATAATTATGTATATGAGCGGATATAAATGAGCGTGATATAAATGAAATGGGGTTTGACGTCCTACTTTTCTGCACCAACCGAGATAATGAAGTCGCGATTGGGAATAGGTTATTTTTACATACAGAGATGCAATGAAAACAAACTACATGGATAACTGTAAATCTCGACTGATAGATAATACAATAACATACAAATGAAAGCTATTAAAGATACTGACATGTTCAACGTTATAATCTATTCACAGTTTACAAATTTATAATCTTTTCACAGTTCACAAATTTGTAATCTGTAGACAGTTTATAAATTTATAATCTGTTCACATTCAAAATAAATTTCCACATTTTAAAATTACCCTTGTTTACTTGTGTGTCTATCTTTACGTTTGAATGTAAAGATACAATATGATCTTGCCTGCCAAGGATTAATTGTGAATGTAACAACACGAGAACATGATAATAACGCGTGAAAAATGATGTGGGGAATAAAATATGACTTTGAAAAAATTAGGGTCACTATAACTTCTACAGTTCAGTGGAGGAAACACCGGTGTGCCAAGGTTAACACCTGATTACAGGGAAGGCGCCATTGCGTTAATTCAATATAACAGGAGTACCAGGGCTGCCGTACTACGGAGATTGACTGATCATTTTCACCAGACATGGTCCACTAGGGCTCGGTCAAAGTCTGGGCGATAACGCGTGACAAAGTCTCAACAAGACCGGTACATCTGCAGGATCGCAAGCTGTCGGATTCCAATACTGCTGCTACTGTGAGGGGGTTATCAGTGCTGCAACGGTTTGTTCTCGACTACGCTTTGTCGGCCAGTGTACCAGACAGACCCAATGTCGTTATACTGACTTTTGACTTCTAAACTATGTTATATCCTCAGTGTAACTGGCACTTCCGGGTTGTAGATTTTACCATATTATTATGATTAAACAGATACATACACATGATTTGATTTGGGAAACAAATAATTATAGGTGTAGATTTTAAATAAAAGAAACGGAATTTAACGTCCTAATTTTCTGTACCACCTGGTATAATGTACATTTCTAAAGCCGGTTGGGTTTAACATAAGTAATCACATTTGACGAGACAGTAATTATTCTTGAAAAACTAGCTTAACACGCAGACGTATAGATAACTTCTATAATGTTGAGGTCAAACATTCACATCATATTTTACATTTGAGTTCATATAATGGTCATAAGCTAGATAAGTAAAACTATTTTGCTCCAAACCACAAAAGATAGGTTGCAAGGCAACGAAACATACCCCCATAGCAGCTAAGTCGTCTGGGCAGTCAACAAGTGTTGTTGCATATTTTTACTTTTGTCGGTAATCAAACATTTATAATACACTAAAATCTGATTAAGAGTAACAACTCCTTAAGTAATTATCAGAAAATCATTAGCCCATGCTAACGTTTAGTATACAAATTACAAAACATTTAATATCGTGAATTTAGCTGTTCAAGTTATCAAAATCATTGAAAATTAATACACATGTACTTGTTCGTCTCAAGACCTTAAACTCTGTGTATCAAAATGAAATGGGGTTTAACGTCCTACTGTTTTGCTCCGAACTGCTGTGTATCAACCTAAAGTCAACTGAAACCATTATGTATTTCGCAAAGTGATCAAGGGCCATAACTCTGGAAGTAATTATCAATAGGCTTCTTCGTCTCGTGACCTTCAACACTGTGTATAAATTTAAAGTCAACCGGATGTTAACTTTAATCTCTAGAGCGTCTACAAGATTTTTCAAAGTGATCAAGGGCCATAACTCTGGCAGTAGTTATCAGAAATTGGTAAAAATAAATAGGCTTCTTCGTATCATGAACTTTAACAATGTGTATACATTCAAAGTCAATCGGATATTAACTTTAACCTCGAGGTTTGTATATTTGGTATAATATCATGTATAATGACGAACGTAAACTAATTATTCACATAAAACCTATAACCATGATATTTTACCATAAATTGCGCAATACACCGGTAAGCTTACTCCACGTTAAACAAGACTGTATTACTGACACTGAAATGGCAATGGGGATCAAAGTAGCTTAATTCATTCGTCCGTGTTTATCATATTAAACCTATTACAAACCTATAGTAGCCTATTGATTCACACTCCTATCGTTCAAAATGCGTGACAATATGAAATAGTATAGTGTAGGATAACAAGCTTGTCGTCAACATAATATTACTATAAATGTAAAATATTACTATCAACTGGGCTTTTTATTATAAACCATGGTTGCGTACTTAAATTTATGGCGTTAGTGTGAATAACATTTATATAAATCTGTAACCAGTTTCAACCAGACGATATAACCTAGATTAAGTTGGGTATAAACAGCCTGATAATCAGAAAGGTTTACACACTCACCCAACAAATATCAATAAAATAATATTTAGCGATTAAACCATGATTCATAATGGTGGTTTGATAACAACGATATATAGTAATAATATTAATGACTACACATAGAATTAAACATTGTCACGATGTTAAAAGCCATTGAATAACTGGTATGTTTTGGTTTAAACAAGGTCAACAAGAGAAAGATAACAATTTTAAGCTGGACGTTGGCACTTAAAAACACTTCAGATTAACACGATTGGGGTATTTAGGGTGGAGTAGGGTGGGGTGGGGGTTGTGCGGCCATTATGCCGTCCACTCACGGTCCTTCCCTTTGGGGCGTCACTTTGTTTCCTCTTATGTGAGACGCTAATCAATGAAAATAGTCCCATGACCCTTTAAGGAAACCCTATAATTCATTAAGACTGTAAGACTACTCGTAAAAGGGTATATATATTTTACGAAGTGTTTACATTGTCAAACAATTATTACCGATAAAACGAATTTTCTTCGGATATCACAAGTGCAGTTAACATCACGCAGACGACTAAACCTTACAATTCACTACAGACTGAAAACTATCTTAACAGGGTCAATGACTTACATAAAGTTACCGGCGTGATTGTGTTATTGACTTGGCTTATCAGTCGATAAATAAAGTGGTAAACTTTGACCTTTTGGTAAGTAGATGACAATAGTCGAATATTATTACATAATAAATGTTCTCTTATCAAGAATAACATAATCACCGACTAGGATATACTGATTATAGTTAAAGAGGCGAATTCCTTCGTACCAAATCAACTATGGGTTATTTCTTGTAATATAATAATAATATAATTATTACCTCGTATGGTTTAAAGAGCCCTTGACAGTTGGAATTCGAAATAAAAGTAGGCCGTAGGCCTATCACCTCTGTCCAGGCAAAATAATCCTCACTAAACCCCATTTCATTTCACTGTACGAAAAGGATTGCTGATTTATTTATGATTTTTATTTGTTAAATCATTTGAAATCAGTGTAAACTTGGAAAGGCATAACAGTTTCAGGAGCAAACTTGCCTTTCTAGAAAGAGTAAATTTGATTGGAGATTGTCTCAAATTAGCACATCTATACCTAAATAGCCGCAGGATTTCCAGGGATGGATTGTGGTATAAATATTCTAATTCTGTGATATGTATATTCTTGAACAGAATTTCTGAAAGAATTTCTGAACATTAATGGGGAACAGACTTAGGTTACGTATAAATTTTAAAACAAGAGTGAGCTCCAATCGTATTCATAGTTAAATGTATGAACGATCTAAGAAGACCGGTCATGGCTACGTGCGTGAGCAAACTACTTCAGGAAAAAAATACAAGACAAGCCTAATATCACAATCACACAAAATATTGAGCAAAATAATTCAAGTACAATAGAACAGTGGTAGTATAATGGGTGTGATTTCGTTTCCTTTACAATTACGATTCTTGCAGTACATTGTTATCTGAACGACATCGTATATGCTTCGTGTTATTTCTAGAATTTCCCACCAAAACACAACTACGTATACCAGCACGACCGATAATTTGACTGACTGGTCATTTAAAGAGATCTGAACTTTTGCTGTCATGTAAATGAAATTGGTATCAGTATTTGATTATTAACCTCATCCAAAAATGTGTTGCATCTATTATAAATAAGGTGAGTTAAAATTCCAGCTGTTCTCAGCATATGACCTTTGGTCCAGATACAAATTGAGTCCAAAAATTAACACGAAACGTAAGTGATATCGGATTTTAATCAGCCTGCGGGTATTTCACAGACATTCCAAATTTGTCAACATGTAAATACTATGTTATATGGAAACCTGTAGATATAAAAAACAAAATTGAATGGTATTTTACTGTCCCAAAAGCAAGGAATCCCATACTTCCACTGTTCTTGTACTTAGGACTCACAAGAATGAAATGTGTTCGATTAAAGAAAAATAATGTCTATATACAATTATCTCATCTCAGGATAGATTAAAATAGATTTCTTAAAATATAATATTATTATAAACTTATATTTCGTGTCAGCACAATTAACAATACAATTAACAAAAACAAATAATGAATATGTATAATAGCACTTTCAATGATGAATTAATTAATGATGTACATAAGTATATTTACAATGAATTCACCCATGTATAAACACACACAAATAGGAAGATATCGCGGTTATGTTTCTCTTAAGGTTATGTTTCACTTTAAAAGGTTATGTTTCACTTAAAGTTATATTTCAGCTTGTCTAAAATTTTCATCTCAAACTATTGAGCTGTTTAGAAGTAATCGCTAGATTTGCTTTTAAATTGTATGGATGACAATCACCTGTTAGTAAACTTAAATTTAGACATGGCTATCAGCCTACATTTATGGAAACTGAAAGTCTGTATTTCTGCAAAAAAATTACCACAGTCATTCCACAAGACATTCAGATAATCGTAAAGGACTAGGATACAATATTTTCATGTATTCCAAACCGAATGACCAGTTTGATGCACAAATATTTTAAATAGGATAATTAAGAAAGAAATGGTCTACAGAAAGGCACCATATATAATTATATTGAGCTCGTTAAAACCATGATATAACTTTCTTGCACTTGAGAGAGAAGCATTCAATCACACTGATTACAATCGTCTAATTACAAGGGATATATAGAATAATGAGCCCATTTGTCAGCATCGACTGAGTGGTAAAGAGCGACATTGATTACCAATTTACTAAAGATAGGTTGCTAGGCAACGAAACATGCGGCCACATCAGCTAAATCGTACGGGCAGTCAACAAGAGTAGTCGCATATTTTTACTTTTGTCGGCAATGAAACATTTATAATACACTAAAATCTGATTAAAAGCAAAAACTCATGAAGTAATTATCAGAAAATCATTAGAATTTGTTTGACCCATGCTAACATTTGGTATTCAAAACATTTAATATCATGGATTTAGCTGTTCAAAAATCATTGAAAATCAATATACTTGTTCGTCTCAAGACCTTAAACTCTGTGTACCAATCTAAAGTCAATCGAAACAATTATATGTAGGCATAAACACGGTGTATAAATATAAAATCAATCAGATGATAACTATGGCCTCTAGAGTGTCCACAAGGGTTTTCAAAGTGATCAAGGGCCATATCGGAAATCGTTGAAAATCAATAGGATTCTTCCTCTGATTACCTTAAACATTGTGTATAGAGGTTGAAGTCAATCGGATATTAACTTTAGCTTCTAGAGCGTCCACAACATTTTTCAAGGTGATTACGGGCCATAACTCTGGCAGTAACTATTTGAAATCGGTGAAAATCAATAGGCTTCTTCGTCTCATAACATTAAACACTGTGTATACATTTAAAGTAAAACGGATATTAACTTTAGCCTCTAGAGCGTTCACAAGCAATTGTGGACTGACGGGCGGACGGACGGACAGGAGCGACGACAATATACAATCACATTTCAATGTGGGCGTATAAAAAAGGAAAACAATGAAAATTAAAGTACAAATGACATGGCGTAGATGTCTATAAGTAGGATAATGAATGGATGCTGAACAAGCATATGCAAGTCAAACTAAATTATTTCAATGACATTAAGTAATTCTGGAAATACACAGTGCACAATTTTATGGAATATAATTATTGAGCTACGTTTCGACTCGGATTCTATGTCATTACTTGATAAAGACGAGAGAGAATCCTTTAGTAGAAACGTCGCCCAGTAATAAACAGTAATTTTAATCCATAGAATTGTGTACCTCGAACTAATACACGTATATATTAGCACACTTGTCCATATCGCTAGTTATTACCCATATAACCGTCACCGGAAGCTGATGGAGGTATTAGACTGCAGTAGAGAAATATGATATATAACAAGGCGCTTAATTTAAAAAACGGGACAGCTGTTAAAACATTTACTCTGCATGATATTAAATAATGTATATATTCATAGAAAATGTTTACAATCTGTTAATTACCATTATTTAACACAAAGTGTGTCGTTAACGCAGCAAACATTTGGGAGGGGGCGAATGCTTATTTACTACCATTTTCAACCCATTTTCTGATAATGCCTCCACCCTCACATCCAAATTCTTCATATTATGAAAATTGTAACAGATTGACTACGATATAATATAATATAAATCATAACTTATAAACTCACGATGTCATATCTACGAAAATTCTTTTTTTGAATTGATAAATACACTCGTAATCGTTAATACTTAATGTTATTTTTTATAGCCGCGTCTTTAAGGCCATTCGAAGACAAACGGTAAAGAGTATTTGTTTTATCGATTCGCTTAAGCGCACATGATCAATGTCTCTAGCACATTGTTTATTTCTTGAACTATAAAAGTATATAAGCAAACAACCAGTGTCTTTGAAACATCCAGGCAAACGATATTTTCAGTGTCACTTTTTTCACTCCCACTTAATTTCACATTTAAAAAAACATCTCACTAGGTATAACGTCTGCGATCGTCACCATTCTTTAACAGCAATTCGAGAATCACCAAAGCATCATACGTCAATGTCTTTATGTCCATTTGTCATTTAAACATAACTCGTCGCCACATTTGCGGCTCCCACAAATAGATCTTGTAAGAAAAGACTAACAATACAAGGTTTGGGTTTTTTTTCCTACAAAGAAATCTCTTCTCTACTCTCGTCCGGGTTATTTCCGGTAAGCGGTGCCTGTGACGTTGAACTGCTGTGTCGAACCTTTGGTCTATGGGATTTATGGTTACGAGATATATTATTACAATATGTACAGTTTATAACTTCATCAAAACAATCGCCTAAATCGGAAGCAAGCTTCGAATAAAGCACTGGCCGAATACACCGGTCTGCTAGCAACAGACAGTACAGATAATCAGAAACCGTATACAAAGTATCCACATAAGTGAAGTCATAATTCGGATTGGTTAAGGATTCATCGGAGGCTTTTTCGTCCTCATAAAATAAATATAGGTAAAATAACTGATACGGCAACTGACAAATGCAAAAGGCAATGACTATGGCGTTGATTAAACGAGACATTTTTCTCGCATGCAATGAATAGCTGTCTGAAAAATATCGTTTGGCAACGTAGTGTGTTACAAAATAGAGAAATAGAATAAGAATCATTGGCAAAAAGAAACCAAAAGCTCCCTCTAACCAAATAGCTGTGTGTATGCTCGCTGAAGGTGATACCGCACATAATTCAGTATATTCATCTTGTTGAAATGTAAAGAAAACTGGAGTGGATGCTAATAAAGCCACAGTCCATAAAATACCACTACTGATAGTCGCATGTTTAGCAGTGGGCGAAGCATTTCCTCTGTTCGTCAACACGATACCTCTTAATACTGAAAGCACAACAATGTGATAGGCAGCTACGTATGCCGTTGCATTAGATACGTACCGACTTACTTTACACCAGGAATCTGTTGTCACTTCCACGGCGTGAACTGTGTCCATGATTTTGGCGGGTACAGCAAAACATAAATGGAACATATCCGCAAGAGCTAAGCCACCAAAAATGACATACACATCCAACCTCAATCTGTCGTATTTTATTAGAGCTCTGAGCATTAGAGCGTTTCCAAGAAGGCCCACGAAGGCAATTATGCCATTGAGGACACAACTCGTAAGAGTGTCCCGATTTAGAATCGACATGTCGATCATTTGGCTGGAAGACGTTAACTTTTCAGGACATAAATTATTTCAGACAGTAATAGTCTGAACTGGATGATCTTGCATCGGAGGTACTTTTTTCCGCATCTACTGTCATGTATTATATGGAACATAAATAGAAAATAAGACGTGTCCAGGATGATCTAGATCACTATTATGTGGTGTCTCTGCTTTCTCTCCTTAATTCTACTTCAGACTCCCACCATAAGCTGAAAATAAAAACGAAAATTAGATCAAGATATCTGACATTCTTAAAAATAACCACACAGTTAACAATGTCCAGTCCATATGCGGGCTATATGGAAGCTCAGTTGAAACTCATAAAGCAGTTCAAGAGTTTTACTTGAAATGTCTAACCCTGCCCTTTCTTCGTGCTTCCAATCCACGGCTTTAGAATCAGACAACTTCATTTATAAGTTTCCCATACCAAATAAATTCACTCTGCAATTTGGGACTAGAGGTCGAGATATCTGAAAATGTCCAATAAGAAATGACACAGAACAATGAGTTCATGGATACCAGAAATATAATCACCCGCCACGTATAACTCATGGCGTTCTTGTCCCGTCCTTTTCAGATTGACTGAATCCGAAAACAGTCCATTTTCATTTCCCAGGTTTTAAAAAACTAGACAAGAAATTTTATAGATGTACTGTCGCTTTAAGATAAATTCATCAGCGGTGGTTAACCTTGCGCATATGGGATTTGAATCTGAAGTATTAAATATCATTAGTAGTTTTATACAATTTAATACTATTAACAGTCAGTGTAAGTGGTCATGACCTCAATATAGGTTAATTTCATGCAAAGTAGCAAATATAAATAAGCCAACTTCTATATAGGAGATTTAAATATAACACTTTGTCGCAGGTATGAGCCCTCACTGCCAGTTTGTAATGAATGATACGCAGAGTATTTACGACGCTCACACTGTAGCTCAAATACCGGCTAAGAAATGGTATATTGTCTGTTGATAACATTCATAACCTAATACTCAGATTTTTTTAAATGAACACACTTGTGATATTTATAACCTTGACTTGCTAATAGAAGACACCGTTTTTTAAAAATTCCCACAGCTTTCACAACTTGTTCATCGCAGCTAAGATCGCAAATGATTGGCAGCCTACCTGTTACCTCTTTACCAGTTATCTTAAGACTAGAGAAAAAAAAAGCCCAACCCCGCAACAAAGCCTGAGAAACAAATAATGGCTCAAAAAGTCTAAACGAGTCGATTACAAGTCCATGGTCAAGAGAGCAATAGATCTGTTCAATCTCGCAAAAATAATTTGAAGCGATTCTGTTAGACATAGACCACTCACTCTCAACGATGGGTTTCCTGACTAACAAGTATCAGCCAAATCCCTATTTATCCATTGAACATCCACTATCTATGACGACAATATGTTTTTGGAATCGATAAATTAATGTGATAGATTGTAAATGACCGTGCTGTTTATAACTTCTTCAACACATGAAACATATTTTAATCATGTTACATTATATCTGTACCAAAACTTGACAGTTTCCATGATTGAGTTTGGCAAAGGGCAACGACTTTCGTTATTATACAACTTAATGAGTTAAAGCACGTGCCGACCATTTCAACGTATTAAGCTACTTCTATGTCAATTATATGGGAACCAAGTCGCTAGGGATTTTCAACTTGGTTTCCTCTTGTCGGGGCAAGCCGAGTAATGTTCTAACTGCTACTTGATCGTGGGTACCTAGTGGCGTGGGTAGAATTAGAATCGGATACTGTCCGTCCACTTTTTTTTGGAAAAATTAGAAAATTAAAAGCTATAAGCCACTTTTCCGGACCTTCGTGTCGTGGGTGCCCGGTCCGTCCTCGTTCCATTTAAGGGTCTCGTCACCGTCAGGGTATCTAGGCCCCGGCAGATAATCTGGCCTAGTCCGGGCTTGTAGAAAGCCACAATGATGGTGAGTGCGATCATTAGAAACGAAACTTAAAACGAAACTTTTAGTTTTGTCTTCCTTTCCTTAGGCGCTAATAATCTCGATGTTTTTGATATTATTGCCAATTGCGGACCTTTTGGCTTTAGCAAATTGGTTCACTTATCATTTTGATGAGGCTATTGAGAGGAGTTCACTTCCTAGTATGCACGAAAGTTCCGTTTGAATTCAGTTCAACATAATTTTTGTTATTGAAAAAAATAAACGAACATTTTATGTGATGAAAAAATGTTCTTTTTGATCTTTGGCGTCTGATGTTCAACGTTTTTGTTTTTCCATAACATTTGTTTGCTTGCTTAAAGTTCCTGTCACGAATCCGTATTCCAAATTAGACATTAAGTCAAAGGTCACGAACGATGTCAGAATATGATCTACATGATTATCAAGATAATATAGATAAAACGTAAGATTAAAATGTCTGGATGTGCAACTATAGATAACTGGGAGACACCCATTTCTAAAACTGAGTATTTCTCAATCAATACCACATAAATTTTATGAAGCAACTGATAAGTGGTATCAGGTGTTATAGAAATACTCGAAATAAACACAGAAATCGAAAACACATGCCACTTTAACTACAAATATGAGAACACACACTGAGCGCTACGCTACATAGGCCTACACAAAACGGATATATATGGATATTAAATATCTTATACACACGCTATACAACTCTTATGTAATTAACATAATATGCTCCAAGTCACAACAAGGAAATAAAATATTGTCAACTTTAAATGATACACCCTATTTTTAGTTAGCTTGTATGGATCAGACGCCTTGACGTTTCTTTCACATTTAAAGTACATTTGAAAAATTCATAGAAATTGTGCCAGTGCCCATACTTTAGAATCCGAAAGGCCTGGCGTTGACGGTACATTACGTGTACGAAAGGTGCACGTGATTTAATTTTCTACCGGAATAAATACTACCGACTAAAACGCAATAGGTAAAGAAATTAATTGTAAATCATTGGTAGCACGCTTCGGTCGGCAGTCATCATCATATATTTGTAAATTTAGATACAAAGGAATACAAGAACACCAATACTACTGTCCATCCACAGCTAACTTCAAATATGTATATATATGGCAATGAGTTGTAAAAAATAAATCATGCCTTGCTTCTCGCGGTAGTATAAAAATTTTCTAAAATTTACAATCGAATGTCATCACAATGTCAAATTTTACAAATGAATTTAACGCATCAATCTGTATTATTATATGACAGTCGTGGAAAACATGATTAAGCATTACGAACATGATGAATGATTGGAAAAAAAATATCCTTGACCACTATTATCATACCACAGAGTATTAACAAGTCGGATATAGAAAACATTTCCATTAATTATGATTTACAAAATTCCACAAATAAACAAGGTACAAATTATTAAATGTCATAGATACTAACTATAAGATATAATGAACATTGCTAATAATACAGCTATAAATAATATATCAACTGATATAGCATATTAGTAGCAGATTGTACACTTGTAAATCCTTGACACAAATCAGCCCTGATTATACATTTTTTACCTAATAATGCATTGTCATCAATTTTGACAGCAATAACAGTGTAAAATCAGAACCCTTACTATTTGGTGATTCCCAATTGCCAGATGGCTTTGACACATATATTGTATTCATAAAAAAACCTGCAGATTTTGTAATTTTAATCTTGCTTTGTGACTTCTTCGTTCTCGATTTGAAAAGATGAAATTTTAGATTAGAAAGCCTATGAAATTTTTTACTGCTTAGTTTGTACGCGGGGAGACATTTTCGGTATGGTAGATATGACTATGGGCTATGGTGACCTTCTAGATAATATATTATCTCTATATAAATAATATTTATTACGTGACCTTTCAGATTTTCTAGGACACACTGTTTTACATTCTGGATGTTTCCCAGTAAAACACAGAAAAAAACCCCTTATATAACCATGATACAAATACATCATTAGACCCATACGGTAATTTAGTTTTATGTTTACGTGCAATGGGGTAAATTTTGCCAAAGCAGCATAGTGACAGTTGATAAACACCCCAGAAACTACGTTTTCTTTACACGCTGTAAGTGACGAAGTGAATTAAGGAATCCTGAAGTCGGCGGAAAAAGACCTCTCTTGACCACAAACACTATATATTATGTTAATGCTAACCCAGTTTTAATATATCATATTGGTGCACAGGCACTTAAAGGGATTAAAATAAAACTTCTTACTACTGCTTGCTTATATATTATAGTATATAAGAAGGTATTTCAGCCGCCATCTTTGTTTTCACGTCTTCAAGGCATTACGTCTGCTAACATCTCACAATACTCACTAGTTCTAACACTACCCGTCGTTTTTATTGCCAACGAGACCTTATTTGATCATTATTCAGCTTCCGATGTAATTAAATTGGCCATTTAACAGCGTTACTCGAAATTTTCCTAGGAACTGGGAGATCCAGACTGCACCTGCAGCCTCGCTTCGTAGGCTCGATCATTTACTGACCAAATTTCGAGTAACGGATAGGTTTATAAGGGACTGGGTGATACAGACTGCTACAAACAAAACTTATTTCCGGGCTGATGAAGACGAATATCGGCAAGTGACAGCGCTTCAAGTTTGATTTGTAAATAATAACGCTGTTAAGTAGCCAATTTAATTACATCGGAAGCTGAATAATGATCAAATAAGGTCTCGTTGGCAATAAAAACGACGGAGGGTCATCGAGAACTTTGCCCGCCGGATCCAAATGTGCTTGCAGCACCGGGGAGCTCATTTAGAGCACATTTTTTGAGCGCCAGCTAAACAAAGAGTTTTTGTGGTACAGACTTGAAACTTTGGAGATGTCTGCTACATAGACTTAACCTAATGTAGCTGTGTTAATCTAAATAAAATTTTGGAAGTTATTCGATTTTTATTGATGAACGTTTTTTTTGTGTCACCCTGTATAATGGGGAGCACATAATCATCTAAGTAATCATAATCAGATGTTTACTTAGATGATTATGTGCTCCCCATTATATTCACTATAATGTAACATACATGATATAATAAATATTGATATATAAGATGGATATCACATTATAAACACGTGATTGTATTTTGTTGTCAAATATACATGTAGACCCCAGTGGAGTATTTGAGATGGGGCCATTGGATCATTCTAGATACCATATAGTAGTTAGCAAGGTATATCACCATTCGCATTAACATAAGTTGAGACCAGAAGCTA